AAAAAATCGAAATAAATTTAAATTACCTCTTTTTTTTTTCTTTAGAATGACTTCAGCTTGTAACATGAAACTACATTAATTTATCCCAAGTAGCTTTAAACTCATAACAGTATACATCTATTTATACTTTAATTTTTTGCCCTTTGAACCGTGTCTAACTACTATTCTCGCCATTATATGATGTAAATCACTTGGGGAATGTGCAGCTCACATTATGCTATTGAATTGCCTTACTCACGAACTGCTCACGTGCGTGCCTCATGAAATATTTTTATTATATTGTTATTTATTTTACCTAATCTAACCTTAAGTAACCTAAAGAGATCCCTATTTTACATTTTAGTTACTTATATAATAATAAATAAAGAATAAACATGAAAAACAAGAAATAAAGTACTTATCTGAATCTTCTTTTTTCTTGCTATTGATTGTCAATGACACTTCACCCTACTTTTTTTATACTAATGGTAGTAATGCACTAAATAATTTCTATTTAATTAAATAATACACCAAAGAACATAGAATAATAACATGCAAAAAGGAGACAATTTCTCCTGACTATCACAATTTTTCTAGCGTTTTAACTATGCCAAATAAGCTGTTACAAAATCATCCAAGCTAGTCTTTAAATTTCCCTTGGGAACGAAGCTTGTACTAACATTGAGATTGACAATTCTATGTTCAGAAAACAATGTTATATAATATGTCATTTGAAAGATGAAAACCTTGGCTTTGCATTGGTTATAGAAAATATAGAATCAAATATAAGATAGAACTATTAACGAATCCTGAAAGAGAGGATGTGACAGGGTTCTGATTTTCTATTTGATGACTCTGTAACCAAACAAAATTGAAGGTTATAAAAATTATGGTTTGTCTAAGTAATGACAAATTTATAGTGAGTAATTTAGGTTGAATTTTGTACTTATTGGAGGGGTGGTGGATAAAATAGAGAAGGGGATATCCCTAGAGAAAATGTTTCACATGTATCACACTAGGGGAAATTCAGGATTTTTTAAAATATTTCCTTATAAAATTAAGAACTTAAAACTTGTATACTACTAACATATGGATTATTAGCTAAGATTTTATGCTATACTAATTGGTATAACAGGCGCAAAAAGTAGAGAAATAAAATTTTGAATGTAAGTCACTAAAATCTCATGATATGTGCACTAAAGGATGCCTGTCACGATAAGATTAATTGAAATTACAATTAAACTGGTTAATGTCATGAAAATAATCAACTAATCAAAATAAGGATTTCTAATTTTCAATTATTCCAATTACTCAAGAAATTGAAATATTGTCATTATGATCTCTCTATCATTTTTGGTTTATTCCAGGTTGTTCAGCTGAATCAATTAGTGTCATGACTCACGAAAATAATCAAAATTAGTTTTTCCAATGATTAGAATTTTTGATTATTCCAACTATCCTAGTCTCATGTGAGAATAATTGCCTAGTTGAATACAAATGATTAATGAGTCTGACTATTAACTGATTAGTAAATTAAACTAATTGCCCAATTCTACTGTACATATCTGACAATTCTTCACAGAAATGCACTTGATAGAGTGCAGATGCTTATGGATTAGTGTTTACTGAACATGTCAAAGTTGGTTTTGTTTTTATTTTTAACTATAAAATGCTCAAAGATGTAACACTTTCTTCATGATAAGATGAAATATCTAATATAATTGATTACACAGATTTTAATAGTGATATTTGAAAAATATAAATATTCATCTCTATTGTCAGTGTTCTTTTGATGGTTCTAACACACATTTTGGAAAATATAGTCAAATAATATGTATTAATTTATTACTCTTCAACACAAACATATGCATAAATATTGTGGCTAGTCTGATGAACACTGCTAGACTTAACTGGAATGTTTAAATATTTCCACAGAATATAAAACAGTATAAACATGAGCTACTAGTATGAACAAAAAGATCACTTTTTTATCAGATGGAGATGAGAAAACACACATTATTTTCAAGCATTTAAACTATGTTTGACTTGCCAACAAAATAACACATTAGATAAAATTAAGGAAAAGAACAATTATATACATTATTATAATAGGAAATATTATATTAATAAAGTATAAAACATGAAGAAATATATATTTAGAAACACTTCAGAATATTTCAGTATATATACTGACTTCAGTATAAAAATTAAAATAATTACCTAAAGCATACATTCACAAAGAAAAGATGAATCAACCTTCATATATGCATGTGGTATACATCAAAATTCAGTACACAGAATGTGTTAAGTAAGAGGTCACAAATCTGATTGTAATATTCTCAAAAACAAAACAACAAAAACATTACATCTAGTGTAAAAAATCTTCTACAGATGATCTCAAGGGAAATAAACAGCAGTTATCCATGTGAGTTATTGTTTCCTGTAAACTAAATGTTTGCCATTCACATTTTTTCTTTGCATCATAAACACATTCTGTTCCATAATCTTGTACCTGACATGTCAGCACTTTAACCTATGCATTCATGACTACATAAACTAATCTGTAAACTTCATTTTTCTGTGTGTCAAAGTTGCAAGCAATACAATAATAACTGTATTGCTTGCAACTTTGACACACAGAAATGACTATGAGAATAACTGAAGGCCGATTTTGCAAACCGACTATGCAAATGATTATGAGAATAACTAAAGGCTGATTTTGCAAACCGACTATGCAAATGATTATGAGAATAACTGATTTTGCAAACTGAGGTTGAATTGAGAATGCCAACCATGAATTAAAACTACTCTTCTTCAGAGTCTATTGCTAAGACTTCCATTAGCAAAAGAAATGAAAAGTATAAAATTTGAATGAAAGTCTTTTTGTTGTTTTGCTGTTATTTTCTTGTTCCGTTGTTTGAAATCAAGCAAGGTGTGTAGTCATTAAAGTTTAATTGATACCTCACAGTCTGTTTATCTTTGCAGATTGAAGTTTTGTTTATATATATAAAATAGAAGCAAGGCACAGAAAAACTGGCAATTTGTTACAAACTGTTTAGTGGAGATGGAATGTGTTGAATAAAATGATTAACATTATGCCACTGTGTATGAGTTTCATGTACACGTCCCACCTAGTTAGGCTGGAAGCTTAGTATACAGGTAAGGCAAATGTCTTGTGAGAATTGACATTTTCATTTAAAATTTGATAACTGAGTGTTACTCACTCATGAACAGAATGTCATTAATTTAGTCTTTCTGGTGTCTAGATGAAAAAATATGTTATTAACATATATTTTATAGCTAGACAGAATTCAATATTTTTGGAGAAATTACTTTGTTCTAACCGTGTTTCTCATGTTTGTTTCATACTAAAAATATTCAAACCAAACAATTAGAATTACATGTAGCAGTGTCCACCTGAAGTAGGCTCAAGCCTGAAATTGGTCATGATGGTTGTGCGTATACAGATATATGCATCTTTCATTAATTAACTTTTATTGTATTGAAATACCTATATATTAATATATTAAAAATAACATTTGTAAAAAATGAGTTGTTAACTAGTACAAAAACCAACCTCAATAGCTTTAACCAAAGCCTGATGGTTACACTCAGTTTTAGTTAACATTTCTCTAGGAGAAACAAAACCTCCTGAAAATGTGTCCACAGGATTAACGATAGGGGATTCAACTGAATGATCAGAACTAGTAGTTTTATCTGGTGATAAATACCACACATTTGGAGTCCTGGAGGTGTCTGAACTAAAAGAAATATCTTTGCTCACTGGCTTTCGTTTCTCCAAAGTTGGTTGATATTCCCAAGGAGGAAGAGGGGGATTTTCCTGCAAGTAACACAAAAAGTTATCAATTATTATAGAAGCATATAAGATACAAAATTGTAGTGATTTACCTACATTTTATGAGATCTATTCATAATATTTAAAACACAGACAGCATCAACAGAAAAAACTTAGGATCAGAAAAGAAACCCAATAACCTAAATGGTTTCAAAAAATACTTTCCTTCAACAGTGATAAATACCATGGCTTATTTTTCTGGTTCTTACATGTGAACTATATAGCCAGGAAAAAATGTAAAAAGAATAATACACATACAAGACCATAACTTTCAAATGAAATCTACTAATGACCCCTTAAATCTTTCAGCTAGTGTTCCATTTACTAATTGGCTCACTGGAGTTTAACTTTCTCACCTATTCTGTGCCTATTTTTCCCCCCATCATACATTGCTGGATGGATTATTGAAGTTTAAAAGTACATAAAAATTAACTGAGTATTTAAAAAGAAAACTCTACATTTAAACTGAATATATATTCAAAATTACTTGTACTAAGGGAACAAAATTTTACCAAACACAATCTAAACAATCATACATTTAGAAAAGTTTAAAACATGGTAAAATGCGTTTCAAAAACTGTCACAGTATATCAAATCTACTAAAACATTATCTGATCTGTAAAAGGTTCATTATTCTTTGCAATCTCATTTCTAATGGTCGTTTTTAGATACTCCAACTTTCTTGGGCTCTTCTAATAAATATTCCCTTTCAGGAAACCCACAGTCAAAAATCTGTCTAGAAATCATGCCAGCTAGGAAATGAGCATCCATATGTTCCTAGGAATTGCTTTTAACCCATTGACTGTTGATTCGTGTATAGGGTATGGTCCGCCTATGGCAGTTGAATGCGAGTGTGCTGTATATGATGTATGACTTGCAAAAATTCCACGAGTGTTTAGAGCAGCCACAATCAACAGGTTACACCAAAGTAAAACTACCATAATTTTGATTGTATAATCAAACAGTCACATAATCCTATACACTATAGGACTCACATTATTTTAATCTCATCTGGAATGGAAAGCACCTTTCAGATGTTAAATGAGCACGCACATAACAAATTGTGAAATATAGCATAAAAATAATAATTCTAACCCTATTTCAAAAATTTACTCAAAAATATTTCAGAACTGATATTTCCCACTTTGATTAGGTATTCTATTGTGAGAAGTAAAAATCCAAGAGATAACAGTGACACATCTCAAGTCTGGAAAGGGTTACTCACCAATTTTAAAAGGTTGAAAAAAAAGTAAGTAAATGAAAGCATTGTTATTTTGAGAAAATCATATTAAACATGCAGTGCAAGTTTGTTTTAAAAACTCCATAAAACTTGCCATTCTCAAAAGTGCCTCTGGTAAAATTTTTTACCCATACTTCCAGTAGTATTTTAAAAACTATTTCAAATATTTATTTCCTTACAATCTCCTTGTATTCATTAGTTCTACAATGATTACAAAAAATGTCAACAATTAATAAGCAGTCAAGACACATTTTAAGCATTAGATTACATTTAACATTACATTATGATAGATACACAGACTTATATTTTATTTTTCAATTCCACTAGGAAACAATGAAAGTGTAAGTTTTAACATTAAATTTTAAATTAAAAGGTCAGGAAGTGACCAAGACATGAACCTAGAACCTCTGGTCTAACAAGGCCAGTCTATCACTGAGCTATCCAAGAGTATAAGACATCCCTGTCAATGTTCACTATAAAGCTTCTCACTATGAGTATGATCCACCATTCTATGTAATGATAGATATACAGACCAAACCATATGAAGTTTATACACAGACATAGGTTTATTTTAAAATTCCATTAGGAAAGAATGAAAGGGTAATATTTAACACTAAATTGTAAGTGCAAAAGAGTGTTTCTGGGACTCAAATCTAGAACCTCTGACTTACAGGAGGGTCAGTGCTAAAATACTAGCAAAAAACAAAAGTGTGCAGCAAGGAGGCCCTTTGGAGTTCATTAAAAATATAGGGAGTGAGGCCAGTCCTTTTAAATATATCTTGATGAACTGAAAAATCCAAAAAACAAATAATTCATGTGGTAAACAAGACTAAGTCCGTAAAAATTGCAGAAAGAAAGAAAAACAAGGACAGCTGCCTCTTGCTCCTGAGAAAAAGATTCAGGATAATGAGAATAGCTAACAGCTAATAATTGAGCTCAAAAGGTTACTCTTAAATTCAGCACAATTACAGAGCTTAGATGAGAACACCCTGCTAAGAGGCCAGAGGAATGAGAAATGTGTGGCAAAAGTAATCTTTTTGGTAATTGCATTGATTTTTAAAAGCATCAGCCATAATCTGATGTCAGGAGATGGAGGGAGGAATAAAGATTCCAAAATTGGAATCTTGTAACAAAATTCTAGAACCTTCAGATGTAACATAAATTGGTTCATGATTTAAAATGTTTCATACCCATGAAATAAGTTAGCAGAATCTTCATCAGGGCTAAGACTGCTTCTCAAACAATGGTGAAAAAGCTGTGTGAAAGAACAATCTTGTTCATGGTAAAAATATAAGGGCTGATGATTCATCAAATTTGCATCAATAAGACCCTGATACTCATCACAGAAGAATTGGTATTAATGGCCCAAATGTACTGGTAGAAAAAGCTGACAATGCAATCATGGGAACTCCTTGTATGTCAGGTGAAGATGGAAAGAATAAATCTTCAATAGAAGCAGAAGAATTTCTATCACTGATAGAAGCATTAGAAGAAGTACTAACCTCATAATTGATGTGAACTTCAAAATTCATAGTGAGAAAGATAACACATGATGTGAACAGCAAAAGTACCAAGAAGAAAATCTGGCTTATGGTGAGAAGTACAACTTATGAAAGATCTCCTGTTATACATGTCACATGAAATGTAGGAGAGTGGAGATTTACGGTTATTAAGTGATGCACATTCTGCATAGTACCAAGAAAACTCAGAACTTTTAAGTCTCCTGGTTTTTGACAGCATGAGAACAAATTCAACAAGGAAAGATTTATAATATTTCAGAGGTATCTCTGCCTTATTTGAATTATACTACTAATATTAAACAGCAAAACAGCACAGAGTATTAAATAGGTAAATACACAATACCATATAAAGTTTCTATTTAAATTTGATATTGTTCCATTAGTGTGGATTTAAAATTTTATTGTAAAGAACAGAATGACACTGATAGTTTCATTAGCCTTTTCACTGCAGCTGGGATGTATACTTCTCAGTGCTCCCACCTCCTCACACTAAGATTGGGACAAATGTTTTTCACTGCCATTCAAAATTGCCATGCATAACATATGGGAGTAAAATGAGTTGTAAAGTACTTATTGGTATCCCACCTAATGTTGATATATGGTTTCCCTCAATGTTTTCAACTCAGCCCTTCAGTAACTAACAAGATGCCTAAGCAGAATGTATGACAACTGTGTGCCGACCATGCCTGCATTGCTAGAGATGTGAGTAGTAACCCTAATTGCTATGTGAAGATAGCTTAGAAGATAGTGAAAGTGAGTCAAGTGGTGTTCAAATACGTGATGATGAAGAGGTAATGAAACAACTCTTCATATAGTGATGATAGTCAAGATGATGAACCTGGACCCAGCAGTAGAAGGCGTAAACAGTATCTACAATGGGAAACATTTGTCCCAATTACAGTGTGAGGGGGATGGGAGCACTGGGAAATATATGTTCCAGCCACAGTGTATGGGTTAGAAAATAAATAAAGATTTTCAAATGTAACAAAACAATAAGAGATTCAGAAGGTCATATATTTTTAACAACAGTGCTGATTAGTTAAACATGCGTCTTCAAATGGGGTGTAGAGTTACAACACTGCTACTATTTTTCAAGACCAAAATTATTCTATTATTGTGCCATAACACTTCTCTTACACCTTGTACAATAGGCACTTAGTATATTTTATTGAAGCCACTACAGATACCGCATACCTACGTTCCACCATAATGGTCTGCTCCAATGCAAGGAAGGAGTTATTATATATAATAATAAACAATTTCTGTCCAAGTAATGGGAATTGTACAAACCAAAATATCAAATTTTAAGTATAATGAAATTTAATGTGTGATTATTATTCAATGTGTGATTATTGTTTTTGCTAACAAGTGAAAAGAAAAAAACTCTAAACTGCTTGAATGCCATCTGATGATCCTTCAAATGTTTAGAGCTATCTTTGAATTCCTAGCTAGCAAATGAACCTTTGAACACAGCCCTATTTGAATACTGATTTGTATATGCTATATCATAATTTATCTGCAATGAATAATACATTCCTACTAAGTTCCTTAACATATCTTTGAACATCAAGTTGTGCATGTTTCATCAGTAGTTTCAGTTTTTAGCATGATTCAAGATCAACTTATTACTGGATCAAAAAGGGTTGGATATTTTGCAATTCATTGTAAACAAGTAACATCATCATAATATTCCCAAAATAAGGGACAACTAATGTCCAGATAATGCAAACTTTATTTTCATTAAATCTATATTTCCATTAATTATAAAACAAGATCCTTACTTTGTACTTCAATTTCAGTGAGCTTCCTGATTATATAATTTGATTATTTTATGTATTCTTCAGTTTTTGTTACTTACCCATAATCAAATTTTTTGTTTGAGAACACTTACTTTTGCAATGAATTGATTATGAATATCTGCTACATCTCTCAGTTTATCGACCCAAGTTTGTCTTTCTTTTGCATTGTGAGCTACAAGGACAGAAAAAGAAATCTGACAAAAATTGGACTAGATTATTTTTTAAGTATTCCAAATCCCAAGATAAAGTAACTCAGAAACTAAAATATTCTGCTTTACCTATTATTAGCTTATTTATTTCTTCCATTTGTTTCAGCTCAAACTACAGAAAACAAAACTTACAATATACCCAAGAAAAATGTTTCAAAATTCCATACATTGAGATGGGTGACTTTTACAATTCACATTTGTGTAAAGATGGGATAATATATAGGCAGTTTAAATTGGTAAGATGCATTTTTAAAATGCAAGTAGTTTTGAAAATTGTCAAGTCTGCAAAGAATTCACAAACCAAATGCCATAAATTCATTATTTGTGAAAATATTTTCATACATGCTAAATCTTCAGTTCTGTTATGAACAGCAACAAATATTATCTACATGTATTCATGAGGTATGAATCAGGAGATAGAAATCCACTTTTTCTATTATGGAAGTAATTAATTTACAAGCAAAAAAAATTCATTCTAAAATTAATTCATATTGTAATTATTTTTTAATATAACCTTGTACTAATATTAGTGACATGCCTTTTCATGTAAGTACCCGAGTGCTTCTCTAAACAGAGAGAGAAAGAAAAGCTTACACTATAAAACTAACAATTTAAAATGGCACTCATTTAAAATGATTAAAATATAACAAACTATATAATCCGTCTATCATTTTTTTGGGGGCTTTTCATTCATTTTATGTTCTAGTATTTCATCTGTACTACTGTGTAAATGCTCACATATTTTTCTTCATTAGCTACAATAATAATAGTGGGATTTTTTTTTTGTTTGATTTTATTTCCACTAATGAAAAATTTTCTTTACTTTTATAATTTTACATGTAAATGTGTATATTTTGTATTTTAAGAATAATGTAAAAACATTTTCAAATGTATCTTTTCTTTTTAAATTCAGTAAAATTATTGGTTTAGCTCATTCTGTGCTGAAAATTTCTTATGGATAAGGGTAACAAAATTCCATTAATAAAAGTATAAGTAATAAATAATAAAAATTTTCAAACTTTTAATATTTTAGTAGACTGGAGATTATTGTACATATGTCCTTAAACAAAACCTGATACAGCAGTAGCATCATAACTGAAACCATTAAAATTTAATAGATATTTCCATGCATTTGATCACAGAGAAATTTAACTGTTGATTTTCTTATAAATTCTTAACTCACCTGTGATAATCAATATTAAAGTATAATGATGATTAGCAAGTAAAATACAAAAGAATCCCCTTACTAGTAAAAAAGTTAACAATAACGGAGCTACAGACAAACTGTACTATAAGTTAACTGTGATCTCATTTCTCATAAGGCTAACCTACAAGTGACAGCAACCACTCATTATTAAGAGTTTATTATCAAAAGTATGCTAACTAAACAGATCAGAACTGAAGAAATTGACTTATGAATTAATGAAAACAACATGTATAATAAACTGACTAGAAATAAATAAATAATTAATCAGGGTGGCATTCCAGCCCCCAGTATGAGGTTTGGACATAAATGCCAAAATGTTAAGGTACTATTATGAAGTCAATTTACACACATACCCATTTGATTTTTCATTTATTTTTGTTTAAATTAAAGACACTGGTTATCCATCATATGTTGACTATACTCAGTCTAGCTAGTTGTTTATTAGTTTTTATTCTGGCTACAAATGTTATAAAATGCGATAGTAAGCAATGCCTCATATCCTACTCTTAATTCCTTCATCTGACTACATATAATTACTTCTTTTGTAAAATGAAAAATTTTATTTATTTACATGTGGTATATGTAATATGCAATATGTGGGACAAACTTTTAAGCCTCTACATATTTGCATAATCTGGACAGATCTCAACTTGAAAATAATGTGGTAAATTCTTTTGAATTAGAACATTTCAGATTTCATCCTGTCACTTCAATAATGATTGCAATTTTAAAAATTATTCACACAGAAACAAACTACAAAAAGATAATGTTTACATTCTTAAATACAAAACATTAAACCTTTATAGCTTGAATCAAGATTATAATGGTACCACTACTACTATAAATTTAAATAATAACACTCGTATTGGTAAGTTCTTTTGTTTAGATAGTATTACCAAGAAATGTACAAAAAGATAAAAATAGAATAAAATTGGTAAATTTTACAGATTTTTGCAAGGATTTAGACATCAAGTTTTATAAACTTGCTAACATTCATAGTTAAAAGTATTAACAAAAACCATAAGGACATTTAATTTCTGATGTTATAAAATTTAATATTAAAGTGAATAATTTAAATGATATCATTAAAGAGTTACCAATAACAAATTCACCATACATAGTAATTAATTTTAAGCAAAATTTTTAATGATTTGCAAATTTCTAAACTTGTGCAGGATTCAGTAATACAAAATAAATTTCTTTAAAATATTTCAAATTATTATACGTTTTACATATGAAATTCCAGTAGAACCTCTTACGTATATACAAATGCAAATATTTTTTAAAATAATTTACATAATTTATCATGTAATTGTTACTTTAATTCTTTAGCAGATTCTTTTCATACACATATAATTAGTGGAAATTTAGATATAATAAAAAACAATTTACAGAAAGCAATGGGAAAAGGTGCTAAATATAGAATAGTTACAAAATGTAAAAAAGAAGTATAAAATTCTATAAAGAAAAAATAGATGATTATATTCCAAAACTTAATCATTCTTTCTTTTTAACTTTTTCAAGACTGGCAAGATTATCAGACCCAAACACCAGGTATTGTGGGAAGGAAGGGCAGAATAGTGTGAGAGGAGGTATGTATTGTTGGAAATACATTTTCAGTATAAGAAAATGTAAACTTCTGAAATGGACATCCTCTCACACTTTAGCTAGAATCCAACACTGACCAGGTGGAGGAACCAGTGAGGGTAAGATCCACACAGAAAGTACTTGCATACAAAAAAAGGTGTGAAATATTGATATATAATAAAGCACACTAGTGGGGTCTGCAATACTTCTGGAACAGGTAAGCTCTTCATCCAGCTAAAGTGAAATGTAAACATGATGGGTAAAAGGCCAACCAGCTAAAGACTCAACATTGTTCATTAACATGAAATTAGTCCAGGCCCTAACCATACAGATGAGGTACCTCGATTTGTAATTAGAATTATAGAGCTGTTGACTCAAAGTTACATCCAAGGTGTAGTGGCTAGGTAATGGGGACTGCACTATGATATAATTGTATAATAGAAGGTTACAGAATGTTGCATGTTGTGCCACCAGAATTATGAAGAGAAGGCAAGCAACACCTAAGTGGACAAACCCTCACACTCCAGCCTGAAGAAGCACAAAATGCCACTAACTGACTTGGAATTATGGGCCCAGGCACCCAACCTGAAAGTCACAGAATCTCGCATGTGAGAAACTGGAATTACAAAGAGAAGGCAAGTAACAACCAATTGGACAAGTGTCAAAACTTACTTTTTAGTAGTATGTAGTAATGTAAGTTTATGGGTGTGTTGGTCTGAGGATTCTTCTACAGAAAGTGTCTGTGACTTGTTGGCAATAAATTTGACAATAAACAAACAGCATGCACTCCACTTGTCTTTAAAATATTATATATATATATATGTATATGAGAAACGAGTTGAACATATATTAAAAATTCTTTACACAATGGAGATAATAGTTGTATCTTAAACACCATACAGTTCTCTTCTTCTTGTCAAAAGTCCACTTAGCCCAATTCAATCGCTTTAGAATTCAGTTTACAAGCCAAACTATTTTTTTCTCTATTTCTATTGCAACAGCATTCACGTATGGGTCACTTACATTGTCATGGAGTCATCATGGTTCTATCTTGTACTTCAGATAATTGTCTGCTATTGTTAATCTCACTCTAATATATCAACTGTTAAGCCTTTCACTCCCACGACAGTTAACTTTTTTGTGACCAACCTTCTCGTTCATGTGACTTTACTTTTTCTCTCTCTCTGATAATCTGGTCACAGCTATTTATACATCTATCACTTAGGCCTTTCAGAAATGTCTATAGCCTCGATATCAATGGATTGAATACAATGTCGGATAGCTTCGACATCAATGAATTACAAACACAAAATATATCAATTAATAATACTACTTACACTAAATAGTCTTTTATATTTGACAACAAGTCTTCCCCCAATCTCCAGAAGCTCAGAATGCAACAAACCAAACTAGAATAATGGAACCAATCCACATCTCACTCAACCTGAAGAAACAGAGATCATCTGGCCTGGGATTACAAACTGAAACCCTAACTCCTCAACCTGAAAGGCAAGGTAACACCTTCTGCCCCCAGAATTACAAGTATGATGTGGAACAAACAAAGTTCAAACAAATGCTCATAGATGTGCACTCTGTGTGTGGAATTACAAGGAGTTGAGGACCCTCTTCCATGATCATAGAAAGTAAGAAAATGACCAACAAAAGGGCAATGCTCACACACTGGACAGTGAAGTGTCATTTCTGAACCAGCATTACGAGAAGGCTCCCATGAAGGCTGGAGCAGCACCCCCACCAAAAATCTGGGAAATCATCCAGGATTAAGGGTGGGAGGGTAACAAGCCATGCCCTAATCTCCTTGAATGGAATAAAGAGTACAGACATCAATCAGGAGTAATAGATTTTTGTCTGCTACAGAGACAATGCAATAGGTGAACCATGTTCCCTATTTTGAAAAGTCCCCTTATGCTTTATTCTTGACAGTCCATGACTGGTGGACCAGTAAGTCTTATATGTGATGTTTGATATATTGATATACAACAATTGTACATCACTCGGAAAGCACCAAAATGGTTTCATGAAACACCACATCTCAGCAGAGCTTGTTGTCCCCCAGGAGTTTACTTATTAGTCTACTGGTAGCTAGTGCAGATTTGTAAAAGCATACCTGACCAGGCAACACTTGTTACTGAGTGGGATCCAAGTGAGAAT